TGACTTTCCAATGTTCTTCCATTCGTCTTAACCTTTTTTCATGATTTTTGAGGTAGACTGACTTTTTTTAAATACCACTTTTATGTCCAAAATCATCCCACTAAAGTCACATACCAGAATAACTGATAGCACTTTAATCTAAGTAAATGTTTACTATATCAAAATAAGGGTACCCACGCGTGAAATACTAAATTACAATTTAAATGCACTAAGGTTGCAAGGTTCAAATTAATCCATAATTGGATCAATTATTATAATAACATTTTGATAACCGTACATAACTTTAGGCCCCTGATAAGGTTTAATTTAGTCTTAAACCACATTCTAAGGCTTATGAGGCGTTTAACTTAAATGACTACGACCTTTTAACTGCAAACAAATTAAACATAGCCGGCCGTTTTGTTAATGTCCCAAGATAGCGTGAAATGAATGCAATGATCTCATCGTGAGTGACATCCAGATAAGTTGCACGCATGTGACCCCTTAAAGGCTTTTCATTACATAAATAGCGCAATTACATGACATTGACATTTTTATTGATATTAAGTATATGCAAGCAAGAGCTGGGTCTAACATTTTCTTCAGAACGATGCACAAAAATGTAATGTAACACAATCCATCAGCATTATAATTCAATTCAATCTTGATAACTTCTTCATAACAAGTATCAATTAAAATTAACTGAAATATTTATTTACAATCTATAGCAACATTTATCCCCAATTAGTCACATATTCAGATGGTATTTTTGAATTATAAAAGTTACCTTTTTATCTCTTATCTGACTGTATAGATGAACGCTAGAATAAACTAAACTAGAAAGCAATAATAAAGAATGTATTAACATTTAATATTTACTAAATGAACTATATTACCAATCTCTTGCAAATAATTTATGATTTGTCCACCAGAAAATACAATGGAACAAGATAATACTATAACGCTTGTTTTTGTTATATATCAGCGAATAAAAATGTATTAGTTGATTTTTAAATAAATATTTATATCGAAATTCAAGTCAAAAGAATATCCATACGACCATGTGTTTTATAAACTCCATACGCAAGAATGAAGGTATTTATTAAATAAAAATTTTTAATAGAATATAATGACGTAAATTAATTATAACTACATTTACTTTTTTTATGGATCTTCATATTTTAAATCAAACGTTGGCTGAGTTGGCTAATACTATTCAAGTTCTAACAAGCTAATTTAATTAAAAGATTAAACGAACTTACCTTAAGTGAAGTTCTATCGTAATTATACGAAATTCTTGTCCAAATCACTATGTTTCACAGCTCTGAAAAAAACATTTTTACTCTCTCTCCCTATCAACACTGCGTGTAATTGTCATTACGTTACGGTAACCTCTCATTCCGGAAAAATTCCGAATCTGGGTTTAAAACCGTGACCTTATTCGCTGATACGCAAGGAATTATTGGAAACTTAATCGGACATTAACTCCTATCTCATGAGCGTATCTTTGCGTCGGCTATGTTTGGGTTGTTGACTTCATCGTATGTTACACTTTGGTCGTAACAATAGTTGATAGAGGCATATAACGTTATATTCCAAACTCGTTCAAATGGACTTAACTTAGGGTTGTCAAAAATAATATATAATTATAATAAAGTAATGATGTGATTGATACAAATGAAAGGTTACGTTTGAAAGAAAATGTCTCGCGTTATTTCATACCATACAGAAAAAAATTCGTGAAATAAAATACACAATGACGAGAAATCGGGTGTTAAGAATTAGACATTACAATCTACTTACAAAAGTATCACAAAGTATTCATGATCTTTCAAAAAAAGGTCTAATTTGCAACCCTTGAAAGGCACGTTTTTGAACTGCACGACTGACCTGTCCACGTGTGTCGCAAAAGCTCTATTGCAAAGCCACATCCGTGCCTCCAATGTACGGCCCATATTGAACCGCCGACAAATGTTTTTGATTACAACACATTTCACTGTTCCATAGAAAATATGTGTAACAGACACGACTTATACGTAATACCGGCTTTGTGTGTGGACATTAAGTTTGAAAGACACCACGATATGTCTTAAGGTAGTCATTATTTTTTTAATATTACACCAGTAGATAAAGTAATATCAATTTAAATGAAAAATTAAATGTTCAATACTTTCTGTTGTACTAAATGACGTTATGCTATAATGGATTAATTCTTAAGTGATATTTATAACAAAATCCTGTTGATTTCTTAGTACTTTATGAGGAGTTTTCCTCATCGTCACTTACGCCCGGTTTCTGAAACACTGGTCATCGTAGATGTCAACTAATCTGCTGTCAAATGAATTTCAAATTACAATTTAGGTACCAAAAGGATGGTTAAACTCTCTGAATTGACCAGAATGATCTTCTTTATGATCAGAATGATCAATTCAAAGAGTTTAAACATCCTTTTGGCAACTGAAATGAAATTTAAAATTCATTTGACAGCTGATTAGTTGGTATCTACGTTGATCAGTGTTTCAGAAACCGGGCGTTAGTGATTCTAATTAACTTGCATTAGTTATTTTTCAAACATACACATTAATTTAATTTCGGTTCATCTGTAAGTAATATAAATGACCCTCCAAGACTATCACATATACAGTTAATACATATATATAGCCAGTTATTACACGATTCTCGTCTCACCACATTTGATAAGTGAATGTATCAAGTTATCCTACGTATATATAGACACATAATATTGGAATAGTATAAGATTGAATATTAAGTTCAAGCCGCTAACTTGGGTTCGATTAAGTATTTCGTTCCATTTATTCTATTACAGGACCATGTACTGGTATAATAGCACGCTGATATTATTAAAACTCGACTTTGGATAATAAATCGCTTCGTAAATCTTACCGGGTGGCGTAAGTTTCATATGGTCGCATAATTCTCATCCTTGAAATGTGGAATGGAGGACTGTGGTACCATGCCACAGCCTCGGCTGTTGCATAAATGGGCAGACTCGTCCGGGGAAGTACCAGGGCCTCGCATCTCCTGTGGAGTGGAAGTATTATACTTTTACGTTTTCTCTGATGAATGAGGTAGCCGGGGCCCACTTTTTAACAGATCGGCTTGTAGATGTCCTTGGTTGGTGGTAATCGCTTAAAATCAGGTGGACCAATTGTTGGCTTACCAACTTTTCGCATAAAAATCTTTACCTATTCAGCCCACGTATAATATTGGGACTGTTGCGTAAATTATTGGGAAACTATAAAGCGCAAAAGCATCGGATGCAAAAATTTCGTTCACTAATAAAGAAATACGATTAGTTACGTATAAGTAAAAGTGATTTAATGTGCCGTACATGACCGAGTGCCGAACGTAACGTAACAACCATTACATGTCCCCACTGCTGGGCAAAGGCTCCTCTGTACAGAGGGTATCAGGGCATAGTCCACCACGCGGCCCCGGTGCGATGTTTAACGAACTTCACATATCTTGGATATATTTTTTTTGTTACTATTTCGAAAACTTGCAAGTTTCCTCACGATGTTTTCCTTCACCGCTGAGCACGTGATAAGTCAGCACTTAAAATTAACAATTTCATTGTGGTCGGCACCAGGTATCGAACTCAGGTTGCTCGACTATATTGAATTAAAGGCAAGCGGCCGGATACTGAGATGAACAAAAATGAAATCAAAGTAAAACATTTCTTAATAATTGAAATAAAAAATAATATAGATACAAAACAGTTTTAGCGAGTGTTCACCAGACAGTTAAAGCATTTGATCCTCTTAACCTACATAGTCAAAGCGACTTCGTCGTTATAGCGCCGAAATTGGCACGGAGGCTGTATGGAACATTGGCATATATCGACATACATATAATTGGACACCAAAATTATTCATCGAGATTTCTCATTAAAAATATTGAAAAGAAACAGCCATCATTCGATCAAACATCAAATCATTATGTCAACATAATTTGTTGAGCTGAAATTATTCTCAAGTTAAAGTACACAGTAACTTTGTCCAATCATATCGCTTGAACAGAATCAACTTTGGCAAGGGCACATTACATAGACTGTCGTTAAACAAAGCCATTTAGGAATTCTATTAACATAGTTTAGAATTATACATCTATTATTCAGGCCACCGACTCAGAAAATAACATCTAACTGAATATAAATATTTCAGTATTTCCCCTTACATTACGTTCTGTTTGAAGAGTTCCAATACAGGATACGTCACGAAATATAGTAAAACTAGCTGCTGCCCACGACTACGTTTGCGTACGAAACATTCAGACAGAAAGACTGATATACATAAAAATATGTATATAAATTATAGCCTATGTCTTATTCTGATGTCTAAGCTATGTTATAGTAAAGTTTCATATATTCGTATATTAACAATTATAGAAGCAGTCATTAAACTTGAACTGTAACTTATTTGATTGTGATATCGCTCTCTGTACGATCTTTTGTTTTTTTTAATAATCTTGATCTTTAATCTTGGATCTTTAATAATTTTAATTTATAAACGGAATTTAAAGCTTTTAAGATCCCTAACTCAAATTGTGTAGAGATTATTTAATGAGCTTAATATGTTATGATTTTATGGTCAAATTGTAACTGTAGAGTATTTCTACAATTAAAATTTAAAAAATGAGGTAAGTCAAAAGATTTTTGGCCCCATGTGGCCTTATAATATGGAGGACATCTATACGCATATCTTATTTACAAGTCAACTTGCCAGGTTTTAGAAACAAGCTACTGCATATTTATCAGCAATGCACACAATGTACGAAGGTAATTAGATACACACGGACAAGTATTGCTCGTTTACAAATCTCGGTACTTAAGAGTTAAATTTAATGCCTATGTTCCACTTGACATCCGTAACAGGAACCTAAAGTGGTTAGAAATATGTTACAGTGAACTGCACGGGGGTAAGGACACGGCTGGGTATATAAGTGCGTGCATTTAACTAATCCATATCACTCGCCGCAGCGGACATAATACCTAAGACAAAATGGCAGCTAAGGTACGAAGTTAAACTTTCGTGAAAAAGCTCGCAATATTAAATTAAACATATTAGAAATGTATATAAATATTTCACAGATTTTTGTGCAGAAAATCTATGTTAAATCTTTTATATGAAAAAAAAAATTATTTTAGGATAGAAATAAAGTTAATAACTAAAACATACTTACTTATAGCATGTAGATATAATTTTTTTAAAAAAGTTATAAATGATTGCGCTTTATCGAATAGCATCCAATTTTTGTCGGATGTGCAATAAATTATAGTTGAAAGCTCTCTTTCATATACAATTCATCGAAAACGGCAGTTATAAATCTTTAAATTCAATCGACCGGTTACTGATTTTATTCTATTATCCATTGTTCTCCATAAATACACGAGTTGAATTTGTCTGGAAATGACTTTCAGACAAATTCAACAATCGATATGTATCGATCGTGTGAAATCTTGGTATGACTTTAACTTAGCATCACTTACGACTTACAGCTCATCGTTCTTCTGTGCGCCGTCGCCGCGGCTAGGGCGGGCGGGCTTTACGGTGCCTCGTATGCCGCGCCAGTCGCCTCATACGTGAGGAGCTACGCTGCTCCCGCCATTTCGTACGCGCCGTCGTTGTCGTACGCCGCTCCGTCGTATTCGTACGCAGCGCCGGTGGCATACTCGGCGCCGGTCGTGAAGGCCGTCGCGCCCGCCGTGTCCTCGATCTCCTCGTACAGCACGCAGACGTCGCACGGCACGCCGGTGTACGCTAAGGCTGTCGCGCCGGTCGCAACTTACGCCGCCGCCCCAGTCGCTACCTACACCGCCGCCGCTCCCGTCGCAACTTACGCGGCCGCCGCTCCTGTCGCTACCTACGCCGCCGCTCCCGTCGCTACTTACGCGGCCGCCGCCCCAGTCGCTACTTACGCCGCCGCTCCAGTCGCTACTTATGCGCACGCCCCAGTTGCCACTTACGCTCAAGCCGCTCCTCTGCGGGTAATCTCTTCGGCACCGGCTTATTCTTACGGCAGCTTAGCTGGCCACGGCTGGTGATCACCCTGACACACTTCCGCCAATCTAGTTGTTATGCCATTTATTTTTTTATATTTATTGTGATACAACGCGAATAAAATTTAAAACAAAACTTTTTCTTTGGTTTCTTTATATTTGGTCTTCACAAAAAAACCTAATGCATGTTATGCAAACAACGGTAACATAAGAAGATACTTCAAAATTTTAAAATAATTAACCATGAAGTAGAAAACTAACATTATTTAATAAGTTCGTATAATTCAGTCAAAACTAATTTCCAATTTGCATCATCATTACAATCCCAGTTATCAAATCAACTTGTTAATCAGTCGCGCTCTACGCTTTATTAATTGTCTGATCATAGAAAATAATGGACATTTAGTACTTATGGTATTCAAAACCTTATAAAATCACGTACCGTTAAAATAACTTCTTAGATCTGAACATAATTTTAAGTAAAGAGTAAGTACAAATACTTATTTTTAGTTATTTTACCAATTAAGCTTAGCAATATAACAATTCTTTACGAAAAAAGTACTTTTTTAAAAAAGAGAATTAGACATGAAATGTAAATTTTTGTCATTATTAGTGCAGGAACTAGAATTGAAAAACAAAAACTAATACTAAAAGAAATTAATACATAATAATATAAGAATGTACCAGGGTGGCAATGAAAGTTTTTAGAAATGGCCAGTTAGAAACTTTGCCAATGAAAACTTCTTTTAAGTTTTGAATATAGAATTCTTTGTCATTTATTTTTAGGAATTGACAGCAATTTCAAAAGTCTTGTTGCGCCTCAAAATGAATTTAATGGGAGAAAATTTTTGAACCATGTTTTTATTACGACTTTTATCGTGGTATTGCTCAATAACAAAGCTGTGGTAGACTTCGATTGGCATTTTATAATGAAGCCCGATCCCGTGTCACTGTTTACAATTAATTTAATGACTTTAAGTATTTGCGTGTTCGAATGCAACGTCTTCCTTCACCCCGACAACGCTTCAGCGCACTCCGCGAAACGCACAATTGAATATCTGACCATGGCAGGTGTCGAGATAATGAGTCATCGGCCATATGGTCCGGTCCTAGAGACCAGCGACTTTCATTTATTCCCAAGAATCAAGGATAGTTCGAGGTATTCGCTTTACAATCCCCAAAGATGCGGTGAGTGCATTAGAAAGCCTTAGAAGAGACGCCTAAGGAAGAATAGGCACCACTTTTCTCAGTGGTTCCGCCGAATGTGAAGATGTATAAAGAGGGAGGGATATACTATGTTGAGCCGTTTTATGATTTTCAAATAACTTTCAGTGAGATCCACGCACATACTTCTAACTGAAAGAAATAATCTGTTACGAAAGAAACAATCAAGCAACATGGAGTACGTCTATTACGATAAGATATTTTTAAAAATTCGTAAGACGCACGCTACATCAAACCGTGGAATATTTTAAATGCTAAAAGCAATATATGCTTCTGTTAATATTATTTAAAGTTATTACAATAGTAGTTACGGTTTAAGGTTTTCTTAATTTCATTCAGAAGTTTTATTCAGCCATGACCATGACTAACTGTATGTTTTATGCTTATTTTTTTTACCTGCCCGTAATAAACTGCAAAACCTCTTAAGGCTGGTGTCGTTTAGAGGTCTGCGTAAAAGAAGAATTAGCAATTTACTTGAGGCCCCGCTTTTGTAAAATGGGTCGCATATAAATGTACGTGTAAATTAACAAAATATCTCATATTAAGTTTTAAAATAAGACATAACATGAGTTAGTTAGAAAGAAATAAGAGAAGAAATATAATGTTTGTAAAAATGGCCGTGATAGCTCAGTACCATATATTATACTCGAACAACTTGAGTTCAAAACCAATGAAATGAGTGCCGGTACCAATGAAATTGGTCATTGCAACTTTAAGTCGTGTTCAGGTACTGTTGAGGGAAAACATCGTGAGGAAACGCGCATATTCCCGCAATAATTTAAAATATTCCGAAGATATCGCAAGTCTACCGGAGATGCGGTTGACTCGCGTGGAGGACTATGCCCTAATACCCTCTCTATATAACTGGCCTTTGCCCTGCATTAGGATATACAGGGAGGCTTTTTTAAAAGTGCCCAAATTTACACAGGAGGTTCAGACTCGGTAGTATAATTATTAATTGAAATAAACACAAACTTTAAAAAAATACCATTCTATTCCCTAAAAAACAGAACTTGCTGACAACACGGTAGTCATTCATAAATACCTAAATTTTACTGTTCACGCACTCAAACGAATTTGTGTGTGTGTTAGTTATGAATAATCGCGCGTAAAATAAATGAGTTGCGTATAAATCACGCACTTTTTGAGATAAGTTCAAATGAATGTAATTAATTACTTACGAGTGATTTAAAATATTTATCATTTTTTATAACATTATTTCAGTCTAGAATTTAATTAAAAAAATGGATACACTTAGAAAAACCTCATTGTATACAGATTATTACTTTTAAGGTTTTTTAGTTTACCCTGTCGAGGTGTCTGTAAAGATGCTTGCAAGTTAAATTTGACTTTATTCCCAGTGTCCGATTGAGCTGAAATTCAGCACACTCGTTTCGCTCTCTTGGCAATGCACGATTACCTAAATGCCGCTATTTTTAATCCAGTATGGCGTCCGCCGCAAAACTGCGATTTATAATTTCCACGCTAACCCTTATGACGTGATTATCAAAAAAAAGGCTGGATTTTATTAACAAATAGACAGCTTGTTCTTAAAAAAAAACAAAATAGAATAAGGTATCGTTGATCGCCTATTTTAATACCGTATTGCTTGATCTGTTTATGTCGTGACAAATTCGGGCGTGTTGTATTAAGCAGCCTTTTCGTCATCGTTATTTATTATTTGGCTAGAAGGCGAGTGTCGTTGTTTTGATAAATTGCCATCGTAATTGGCGCTCTCGTTGATTTAATAACACATTGTTTGAGATCGCAGATCACGCGCCACATCCTTCTATTTATTAAAGAGTGTTACGTTGAACGTTTAATTAAAACATATCAGGCGTTTCGAGAGGGCGCCAAAGGGGAGAATAGACCAGCCGCTTTGTAAATAATATGACTTTTTCTCGTTACATGTAAAGAACTTTTAATGAATACTTTACGAATTCTATGATGTTTTACATTTATTGTTTACAGATCTATGGTCACTTATAGGGCTGAGATACTATATGTCTTAAAGTGATGTGATTCAAGTTTTTAATAAATAAAATTTGTAATTAATAAATAAAAATTTTAGATGATAAATAAGTAAACCGGCAAAAATATTCGGCAAGAATATAAAACAATTATAATTAGATAAATAAAGATACAATTTGGCATTAATTAAAAGCAATTTTAACGCGTTTCCGAAAGAAAATCCTAGTCAGAGCACGAGCACTCTGACTTGGAAATGTTTCTTGTGGCACGTCTGCCACTCCTTAAGTACCGCGTTTCGCATCTCACTAAAATGTAAGGGGGGGGGGGGGGGGGGCGTTGGATTCATAGTTTTAAGTTTCTCATTACATTGAGAAAAACTCGCGTGATTTCAAAAGCAATGATCACATGCAAAGTAGAATCGATTTGTTTGACTGTCAAGTTTAGGTGCTATGGGAGGTACAACTTCTTCATTTCTTCTGCTAAAAGCACGCCCACTCACTTGTACTCCATGAACCTTCCTAAATGTATTGCGGGCTTTCATCGCTGTAAGCCGCGTGCTCTACGAACTTGTATTGTAGAAACCGGTGATTCCTCCTTAAAGTACACATTTTCCTGCTTTGTTCCCTCCTCTTTACTAGTCGGACTAGTCAATCATTGAATATTATTGAATGGATGATAACGGTCGACCAAATCGATATTTAGGATTGACCATTTCCTCACATTTCATCGAGCCAAATGATTTCTGGTTGTATTAAGTGAAGCATACTTTGTTGATTACAATCAAACAAATGACCTTCAGAGAGAAAGAAAAAAACACGTATTAAATTAAATTTCAAGAATTTTGTGTGAATGTCAAATTAATTTCCAACCACTCACGACACTTCAATAAGTGTAAAATTGAAACAAAGGAATGAAAAAGTATCGGCTACTTTTTCTATTTATTTATAAATAGTGGGCCCTTGTTGTAACACACGAGAAGAAACGCGAAAGTCTAACACTTCCACTTTATGCCGGTCTTCCGTAAGGCCGTGAATGCCCCGGATGAGCTTGCCCATTTGTGCAACACCAGAAGCTGCAGCCCTACCACTGTTGACAAACTGCGAAAACAATCCATATAGTATAGTAATAACTATGTGTAATCTTATACATTTGCTTTCTTACGCATTTTGCATGGAAAGTGACATAATTTCGTTCCATTAACGTTTTTAAATTGCTAATCTTAAAAGAAAAAAGGTGTACATGGACTTTGATCATTGCAATATGATCGTCAAATTAAACGAAGCAAAGCGAATTTCCCCGTGGGATGCTATTTGAATACATTTATTCTGAACGAGTCTGATCTTCCAATTATTTAAAATACGCTATCTTCGAAATGGCTCAACAAATCAGACGCGTAAAAATTGTCTTTAAACAATTAGCATACATGAATACTAAGAATGTATCTCAATACCAAGAAACGATATATGTGTGGTTGTGTTTTTTTTTTAATTATACCTTACAGTGAGACATATTATATGACGCCATATTTACTTCATCGTGAATAAATATATTATTATTTAATTAATTAATCAAATAATTTCGTTGCAAATTAAAATTTAAACATCAACTGAATATAGTAATTTATCATATCTTTTCTGTCATTTCTTAATCATTATGACGGAGTTTACAGACATTAAGCATGTAGGTATCATTAGTTGCAAATTGAAGAACATTTATGCATTTTCTTACAAAACCTTCAGCAACGATTCGCTCTAGAGGTGCAATTTGAAATTAATACAGAACACCTATTGCTACACCCATTATCTTGCTATCATTGCTGTTAAAATCATAAGCCTTGCGATAAACAAGGCTACTGACATATCCGACATTTGTGTATATAAACTAAAAACTTTGGTCTAACAAACATTCCATTCTTCAGAGTTGGAGCATCTACAACAATGGCAACTAACGTAAGTCTGTACTCAAACACTTATTTTTTCCACAAATTAGCCAACTGAAGCAATGTCACAAGATTTTCAGGACTCTGTTTTTAGTCTTAGAGTGAAATAAGTACAGTTGGCAACTGTCCAAGACTGTTCTAACAGTAAGTCTTAACATAAAGGAAGGATTTATATCGGCGCTCCAGTTTTGCGACGACGAAAATTTTATGTGTACAATAATATTTTTCCCCTTGCGCCTTGTGTAGCCCCTTTAATATTTTTATATCGTTATTCCTTCAGGGCAGTAGTAAAATATATAATAAGATATAATCAATATAAGTTTAATCGCGGAAGAAGTCACAGGCACAACTATTAAATAAATATTTTATGACACATTTTTACACAACGTTCTCTAGTCTCAAACAAAGCAACGCTCGCACTATGTTTAATTTAAAAGATAAACATATTTTTCTTCTGAGAATAAAAACATATTATAAACTAGCTGTGCCCGCGACTTCGTCCCCGTGGAATTTAAAATAAAAAAAATCTAAAATAAAAGTAGCCTAAGTTACTCCTTATTACATCAAGTGAAAGTCCCGTCTAAATCGGTCCAGCCGTTTCAGAGATTAGCCGGAACAAACAGACAAACAAAAATTGTGAAAATGTGTATAAGTAGCGTGTATATGCATTTAGTAAAAAGCGGTTATTTTAATATTACAAACAGACACTCCAAGTTTATTTATCACTATAGAAGTATAGATATAGATTGCCAAATTAGATAAATTGCCAAATTGGTGATAATTCAAACACTCTCCGTCATTCATCCATTACTTTTATTGCCATAAAACAAGAAAATAAACATTGTATCTTTGGGGCGTTCTGAGTTCATACTTTTTTAATAGCGTATGAGAATAAGTGGTAACAGAGATTCTTGCTCTTTTGTTATAGATTGCAGTAGTACTTTGCCTGTTCGGTTTGGCACGCGCTGGAAACCTCTACGGTGGATCCTCAATCGGATCTAGTATCGCCTCTGGCTTGGGCCACGGATCGGTCCTTGGATACGGAACGAGCCTAGGCCACCGATCAGGTCTTGGATACGGAACAAGCCTGGGCTACGGATCAAGCCTTGGATATGGAACAAGCCTAGGCCATGGATCAGGTCTTGGATACGGAACAAGCCTAGGCTACGGATCAGGTATTGGATACAGAACAAGCCTAGGCCACGGGGCAGGCCTTGGACTCGGAACAAGCCTTGGCTATGGAGCAGGCCTTGGACATGGAACGAGCCTAGGTCACGGATCGGGTCTCGGGTACTCCGCTGGCCTTAGATACGGTTCGAGCCTAGGGCACGGATCGGGCCTGGGATACACATCTCTCAGCCATGGATCTGGCGTAGGTTACGCCGGGGCCTTGGGGCACGGCCTTGGATACTCCAGCGGCTACGGATACGGATCTCAAGGCTATGGTGGCTACGCGGCAGGCGCCTACTCTAGGCCAGCTATCTCTACCGTGTCCCATTACAGCATTCACACCGCTCCAGTAGTGAGGACATACGCAGCGCCCTCTGCAAGCTACGCGTCGGGGTACGGCGCTCACGGAGCATACCCCCCAGCCATTTCTGGCGGTTACGGGTACGGTGGATACAGTAACGGATATGGCTCATATGGAAATAAATGGTAAAGACGGAAAACATGTATTGTGGAACGAAATAAATGTATTGATCAAATCCTTTTAATTCCTTGTTCAAATTTATTTGACCTTTCTTTAAATTAACAATAAACGGCTCCCAGTTGTTCATTTGTCATTCATAAAAAAGTAAAGTAAAGTAACAGCCTATACATGTCCCACTGCTGGGCAAAGGCCTCCTCTATACAGAGGGTATCAGGGCATAGTCCACCACGCGGCCCCACTGCGGATTGGCGGACTTCACATATCTTCGAAATATTTTTTTGTTATTATTTCGAAAATATGCAGGTTTCCTCACGATGTTTTCCTTCACCGCGGAGCACGTGATAAGTCAGCACTTAAAGTTAAAAACTTCATTGGTGCCGGCACCGGGGATTGAACTCAGGTTGCTCGAATATATTGAATTAAAGGCGAGCGCCCGGACACTGAGCTATCACGGCTCTGTATGCTCACATATCACATGCTCTCTATCATTCATACAAACAATCATATGCAAGTATCGAACTCATGATAAGGCGTCAAAGCCTTAGAACTTAATTATTACATAGTGTGTGAAATCATTCGCAGCATTTAATGTTATACTATACATGTCATGTATCTCTAATCTACAATATAAAAGCTTTAAATCACTGCAGCTTTAAAAAATAAAATTTTTAATGGGATTAAAAATAAAAGCTGTCAATTTTTCATCAGAGCATCTTAAGTGCCGATTTTAAACATTTGACAGTTGAGACAGCTTGACTATAACTGATAATTGCTGATTTGTCTCATGGAAATTCTGCTATAACAATTCCCAATGAAATTATACCCCATAAACTTTTTTAAGTCGTAAGATAAAAGGTGTAACTACAGAAGCATTTTAAACAAACTAATCTTTACAAATTATAATATACGAGAAATTTTAAAGAATATTTTTTTATATAAAAACTTATTTAGTTTTTTAAGTGTACCATTCATACAGAAATAACTCTGAACACCTACAATTTGTAATATCCTTTACTCGAATTCGAGAAAAGGAAATTGGACATGGTTGGTAAATATGAAGTCAAATCAAAGGTTACAAGTAACAAGTAATGTTAATACAGGAAGTTTACTCATCAACTAAGGGCAAAATTTACATAATCACTGCCTCTACGACCAGCTAAAATTATATCTTAACAACTTAAAAGGTAAAATGTGTATATAAACCCATTTAGTAGTTACCTTTCATCTCATGTAAAACATGAGTCACGCACCTAAGCTACTCGGTATATTGATTATACTAAAAAGTTTTTTGTTTATCATCTTCGTCTTTTATAAATAAAAATTAATATTTTCATTTCGTTTCTGACCCACTTCAGATTAATAAACGTAATAAAACTTTCGGTACGCTGCGTACGCGATGGTTTCTGGACAAATTTTTATTTATCTGTATGCCTTCTAAATATTAGTTTCGAAGGTATAGAGATAAAGAAATTTGTATTAACAAAAAGACATTTTTTTATACCTAACATTGCCTCTAATGCGTGTTGTAAATAAAATGATACTTAAAGGATGGGTGTTCCGCAATGTAAACAGTTCGAAACGTCGCGAATTTAGGATTTTGTTCACTCTTGTATCATGTATCATAACTACATTATCTTTGGATAACATAAATGTATATTTATAATTTAAAAACCTAAAATTTGAAATGAAATCTAAGAACTGTGTTCGAAAATTGTAATTTAAAGAGCAAAAATTTACTTTCCCTTAATTATGAGAAGAAAACATAATATAGATTTATTTTAGGATACGTCTACATTACGCCAACGTTTTCTTGCCTACGATGTCATACAAAGAAACACATAATTTGTAAAACTTATTTTGAAAAACGCTATTCAACGAAACAGAATGCTTGTGTTTGTCTTCTTAATGTTTTATTTTTAAGCATCCACAAATATGAAAATATAGACTAAGTAAAGGACGACCGGGCTAGGAATAATAATTCAACTCGCAACAAAGCGCGGAATGACATTTGGCAAAGAGAGCACTAGAACCTTCGGATCTTGTCAACTTTGAGACAAATAAGCTCGCTCAATGAATTCATTAACTTGTCGTTCAAAAATTGGTTACTATTTATCTTAAAGAATATGATCGACATAAGTAAATAACGTAAACGTTATCGAATCAATATCCGATTTCAATCAGGATTTCCTTATAGTGCGCGTCTCGAAACCTTCAGAGTTATGGGCCACGCACAACCGAAACGATGATTTGGGCGGACGATCGCCTTGACATTGATACAAGCGCCCGCGGCGGTTCAAGAAATGGATGCTGCTCTTTCGAGGCGGCCACCAGTTTGCCTACGATGATATAAAAGCATACGCGAGTGCTTCGGAAAATATTCAATCAACGAAGCGCACAATACAACCATGTACACCAAGGTACGGACTAGTGTAATTTTGGTTATCTTGATTAGACAGTGTTTTAACGAAAATCCCTTTTTTAATACTTGCTTGTGATCTAAAACTAGCTCTAGGACTAGAACTGGAACCAAGAGTTTGCATCAACAAACCGAAATGCACTGCGCATTATTCGTATTATAATTATATATTACGTGCATACGATAATTCTCACGCAAGGTGTTCTTGCATGAACATATCTGTCATATTAAGATCCTATGGAGCAAGGAAAGATTATTTACTTCCCAGAGAAACTGGAGCTCTGCCCAACTTTAACACTGACTAATGATTTTGTTTCCAGGTCTTAGTCTTCTTGTGTGCCGCTGGAATTGCGGCCGCCGGTAACCTTCTCCACGCACCAGTTGCTTACAGTTCCGCCCCGGCCGTGTCTTCTGTGTCGTACTCTACTCACGCGGCACCAATAACATACGCCGCTGCACCAGCACTGACCACTTACTCCGCATCGCCCATCGTCACAAAAACTCTGGCTCCATCCGTGTCCTACCAATCGATTTCCACCCACTCAGCACCGGCACTCTACGCTAAGACCCTCGCAGCTCCCGCCGTCGCTACATACGCCGCGCCTGTGGTAGCCAAATCAGTTTCCTCCTATGAAACCATTTCTTCTCACTCTGGTCCCCTTACCTATGCGTCATCCGCCCCACTCTTAACAAAGACTTATGCCGCTGCCCCCGTGATTTCCAAGACCATCTCTCCGGCTGTATCTTACTCTTCTGTCTCTCATACCCCAGTGTCATATGCGAGCCCGTTGGTGACTAAAACTTACTCTGCTGGCCCTCTCATCGCGAAGTCTTACTCGCCCGCAGTCTCCTACTCTTCAGTCTCCTCTCATTCTGCACCAGTTGCGTATTCCGCTGGCCCATTGCTGACGAAGACTATCGCCGCACCAGCCGTCGCCACATATGCCGCACCTGCCTACTCCACATACTCAGCTGTGCCAGCTCTCAAGACCGCCGTTACGTACTCCGCAGCGCCCGCCGTCTCTCACGTCACTTACACAGGCTTGGGCGCCAGCTACGGCTGGTAAATAACCAAAGTATCGTCACATATTTATTAAACTATTTTTGCAACCGAACAGTTATGAGAAATAAATATTTATTTCAATACTTTTACTTTTCAATTTTTTTTCAACCCTTGCGTGATACGTTATTGAATGTACGTTATTGAATATAAAATCTTCAGGTTTTATTACACTTCAAAGTGTAGTTTTACTTTCACACATTTATTCATGATCGTGTATCATCCATTGTAACATTTTTCACGGCCTAAAAACTCGTACAAAATACATATATACATACGAATAAAGCATGCAAAAACATGAAAATTTGGCATATTTTGATATTAAAATATAAAAAATCGACACATAACAAGTAAGAATAAAATATATCATCATTAACACCATCATCATTTCAGCCTGTTTGAGCCCACTTCTGAACCTAGGTTCTGCCTGCTATAAATGCGTACTGATAATGAAAACTTAATTTAACATAACCATACTTATTATGAAGGTAAGTACCCAAGAAAGATCCATAATGTGGCGCCGACTTGAGCTAATCGAGGCATTAATGGCACCCTAAAGCATAATACCATATAAAATTTGTAAAAAAAAGTATCTAGCTAACGTAACTGTGATGTAATGAATATATTTTTTTAGTTTATGTAAATTAAATACTGCTAAAATCACCTTATACAATGCCCTAATGTAGTATGCAACATATATAAACAAAAATTGTAAACTTTAGAACAATATAGTTAAACTAGTTGACCTTTCAGAAATTTTCACTCAATACTGTGAACAGTTACTGAATGGTGATAAAATAAAGTGTAACAGTCTACTGAGCATACACCTTTCATTTAAACATGTAAATTTAGGATAAATGGGTGTGGAAAACTCCCACATAACCCTGCTGCCTACCTACAAGGCGGCGGAGGGTCTATAAAGGATTTTCCCAAGTTAAGGAAAAGGATAAACCTGTCTGGAAATGACTCTTGCACTTGCTAGTCCCCTGGCAGTAATGTTGTATAAAAATTAGAAGAGTAAATCAGCAAATTTGGAAATTTTTATATTGTTATTAACAAAAAAAGATACAAGACCGCAAAGTTTAGTGTCGGTTCTTCTCCAGACACGTTTAATTTGAACCACCTGTTTTTTGTTTTTTTAACCACCGTGAACCGGTGGTTTTTTGGCGAAGAAAAAACATCGAATATTTCACGTAGTGAGGATGTCGACCACTTGGCTAAGTGGTTAGAGCGTTTGGACACTATCAGTGTTTTACTGTTTTATCTTCATATTTATAAATACTGTTAATCATTTTGACACTTTGATTCTCGTTCTTTTGAAATTAAAAAAGGACTTTAAAAAGTCACCACTTTAAGCAGAAAGAATTGGTGTGTGTTTTGAAAGTCCACAACCTCTGAACATCAATTTATTTCAGTCAAAGACCTTTCAAAATATTTTAAAATTACTTTTGAAGTAAACTAAAAACAACCACCTGAATACGTTAACAGCAGTTGAAGATTTTTTTTCCACGGAACGTTTTATTTTACGTCGTTTGGCCCCGGCTACCTCACTCTCCAGACGAAACGCAGAAGTACAACACTTCTAGTCTACACCGGTCTTCTCTGAGGTCGTGGTACTGACCCGGACGGACCTGCCCATTCACGCAACAGCGAACTCTGTTCCGTAGTCCTACCACCGTAAACTTTTTTTTTAAATATTTTGGACACATTTTTACACAACGTTCTCGAGTCCCAAACTAAGCAACATGTACTATGGATACCAGAAAACTGATAGACATACTTAATCATACTGTTATTTGTAAATAAATACTTATCATACATATATAAACACCCAGACACCGGGAAAATACTTTATGTCCATCACACTATATTTTTTTCCAGTAGTGGGAATCGAACCCACATCCTCTGACGCGAGAGGCAGGTGCGCTACTTCCCGCGCCAGTCGTGTCGTCAATCTCTTAAACTCTAGTTAGGTTCCCCAAAAGGTCGTGACAGAGGAAAAGAATGAACGTTACACTTTCTTCTGGCGGAATTATAGCTACAGGGCAATTATTTTCTTATTTACTTCTCCCATAATATTTTTAAGTGAATCGACTTCTTCAGTCATCCATTCTTGTTGGTTCATCAAAGAAACAGTTATATTAGTTTTAAACCTAGACTTCCCACATGCAGATCGTTGGTATGTACATTATGATGTTACAGTTATGATTTGTTTCATTGATAGTTACAACTTCCTTCTTTCAAGTTTTCAAACATAACCTTGCATCGATCTTGATGTCGGAACATTTTTCTTATTATATACAATAATGCTGGAGGCATTATTCTATATAATAAGATCAAATGTTTTTAAGAAAACCTTCCTCACCCTCAGATATTCATGCAGGATGGTTAAAAACGATGTGTGAAACTCAGATATTAGATTCGTGACCCTGGTGATGATCCCATGCGTAAATTCAATTGGAACTGGATTTTTACTAACTGACATTGTGTACGAAGGTGAAAGTTCAATAAAAACAGATCTTTAATCACCTTGAAGACATTAATATCCTTGAAATTCTCTAATCTATAATCATAAAGATCGTCAAACGGAATGGCTCATGCTGAATACTCAAATCGGAATCGCGTAATGAGATGAAAATCGACGAAAAGACAAGAAAAAACTTACCGTAAATGTCAGGGTTTGTTCTAAGGAAGCACCCTTGGCCTTATATTTAGGGCCTTTATTGACGTTAACGAGTAATTATTGTTAACATACTGGAATTCCTTATAGTATTTTGTTGTCATCGAAATTAATAAAGATATGTTTTACTTATTTTGACATTATCAAATTGTCTCCCACAATTGATCGGTGCCTCACATTGACATTGTAATACTTGGGAACGAGTGAGACTTCATACTTCTCTGGAACAATTACAAACTTTATTGCATCGGGCATAAGTCACATTTTACAAACCTAGTTTGCATTGAAAAAATCTGTTCCCAAGATCTGATACCAGTTTATAAATGTGGTATAAAAGCGCTTGTTTGCCCGTTGAAATTCATTCTATCATCAGAACATTACCCAACAACATGTACACTAAGGTGAATTAATTTAACAAATATTTAATATAGATAGCAATGAAAGTATATTGTTTATATATATTAAAGCTTTTATGCAAGCTAGTGTGATATGTGAAACGTGTCGAGTCTGTCAACTTCCGACATTTTAATGTACTTTAGTGGAGTTGGATTTAGGATACAAATACGCGACCTGCCTTCATACCTTCTGATCGAAGTCTTTATCTACAGTCACAATTGTACGAAATGGAGCTATTTCAAAACTAATCTGTTTGTTTTCCAGGTCATCGTATTCCTGTGCGCCGCTGGCATCGCGTCGGCTGGCAACCTCCTCCACGCTGCTCCTGTGGCGTACAGCGCGGCGCCCTCCGTCTCCCACGTGTCGTACACCTCACACGCCGCGCCCGTCGCCACCTACGCCGCACCCGCTTACTCTACATACGCCGCTCCAGCGATCTCTGCCTACCACACTTCTCCCGTTGTGACTAAAACCCTGTCCCCCGCCCTGTCCTACTCTTCCGTAGCCCATTCCGCCCCATTGACCTACGCAGCCGCCGCCCCCGCCTACTCTACTTACTCTGCTGTGCCTGTCAAGACCGCCGTGACATACTCGGCTGCGCCCGCGGTGGTCACACGTAACTTACACTGGTCTTGGTGTGAACTACGGATGGTAGGAGAAGCATTGTAGACCATAGCTAACGCAATAGAAATACTTGATTGTAAATAATGATTGTAATTTAATATTATAATAAATTATTTTATTCCCAATTCTCGATTTTAATAATTTAACCCCTTTTTAGAGGCATAAGTTTTTATACATGTTTTCTTTATAGACACAGCTACATGTAGTGACTAAATTTTATTTATTCAGGTCGAGCACTGTTTCGTACTCACCATTTCACTTGAATAATGAAAGCTTATATCTATATTTTCATATTATAATATGAAAATATGAAAATATAGATCTTGTTATAATCCTTAAAAGACGAACTCTAGCCAATTATTTTCTCTTGAATACTGAAACACAACAGATTACGCCTATGACAAAACAGACTAAAGGCAATAAATAAAATTTTTCACCCTTTTCTATACATTTGAAAGATAAATACAGATTTTTCGTTATATAGTTAAATGTTGACTACACTAGAACTGCCTTTGTCCGTCTTCTTATGGTTAGAAACACGAGAATTTACTTTTTTATTTTCTGTAATGATAGAACAAAAATCTTTAAATTTCTAATTCCAAAGTTCACTAGTTGATTGAATTTATTCATAACCAGTATGCAGAAAGTAAGAATATTTCTATGGGATTCCCGGAATTTGTACTCCATTTAAATATACGCATGTATGAAATGGTGACAGTTTCAGGACTTAGATGGGTCCCGCGAATTCCCCTGGAACTCTAAGTGACATTTAAAGGTCAGTGTTGACCAGTCGTGATTTGTAGATCCGAATATTGGGCAGCAAAAGAGACAGGTGCATTGTGTAACTAGAATGAAAAAGATCCGGAATGAGTATTTTAGAAAATACTTAAATATGGTATCAGTGACTGGGAAAATAAGGAGTGACAATTATGGGCACGCCATGAGAAGGGATGAAAACCATGTGACTAGAGTGATAGGTTGAAGACAGAAAAAATTATTGGCTAGCGTTCGTCTTTAAGGGATTATAAAGAAACCTTTATTTTCATATTGTAATAACTTTTATTATTCAAGTTAAATGATGAGTAAGCTTTTGCTCTTAGCTATTACAAAACAGTGCTCGCTCTAAATAAAAAAAAAATTAGGCACGTACGAGTGGCTTCAAAGTGAACAGAAAACATATATTATAATATATAACGTAAATAATAATATATAATATATTAATACGTAGCTTATGCCTTTAAAAAGGGTTAAATTATTAAAATCGTGAATTGGGAATAAAATAATTTATTATAATATTATATTACAATCATTATTTACAATCAAGTATTTCTATTTCGTTAGTTATGGACTATAATGGTTATTCTACCATCCGTAGTTCACACCAAGACCGGTGTAAGTGACGTGTGACACCGCGGGCGCAGCCGAGTATGTCACGGCGGTCTTGACAGGCACAGCAGAGTAAGTAGAGTAGGCGGGGGCGGCGGCTGAGTAGGTCAATGGGGCGGAATGGGCTACGGAAGAGTAGGACAGGGCGGGGGACAGGGTTTTAGTCACAACGGGAGAAGCGTGGTAGGCAGAGATCGCTGGAGCGGCGTATGTAGAGTAAGCGGGTGCGGCGTAGGTGGCGACGGGCGCGGCGTGTGAGGTGTATGACACGTGGGAGACGGAGGGCGCCGCGCTGTACGCCACGGGAGCAGCGTGGAGGAGGTTGCCAGCCGACGCGATGCCAGCGGCGCACAGGAATACGATGACCTGGAAAACAAACAGATTAGTTTTGAAATAGCTCCATTTTGTACAATTAAAGCGTCTCTCATAAAGATACAGTTGTGACTGTATCTTTATGAGAGATATAAAGACTTCGATCAGAAGGTATGAAGGCAGGTCGCGTATTCGAATTCAGCTCCAAATTCACTGTAACACATTTTTAATGTCGGAGGTTAACAGACTCGACATCTTTCACATATTACACTAGTTTGCATGAAAGCTTCAATATATATATACATTCATTGCTCTATATTTAAAATATTTGCTCAATTAAATTCACCTTAGTGTACATGTTGTTGGGTAATGTTCTGATGATAGAATAAAAATCAACGGACACCCAAGCGCTTTTATACCACATGTATAAACTGGTATCAGATCTTCGGAACATATTTTTTCAATGCGAACTTAGTTTGTAATATGTGACTTGTGGCCACGGCTCTAAAGCTTATAATTGCTTCAGCGAATTATTTTCAAGTCCGAAGTCTCACCCGTACCCAAATGTTACAATGTCATGGTGAGGCACCACCCAATTGTGGGAGACAATTTATAAATGTCACAATAAATGACCTTCTTATTTGCGGCGATGAATAATTAGTATCAACAATGAACAACTAAACAATTAGGTTATGTCGAAGATTAAGTTTAGCATCAAATATCATGTAACAGCAGTAAACCTGTTTCAAACTCCAATTATAATTAAATTAAGCGTCCCTGAGTTCATTTAGAGTAAGTACATTTGATTAGAGTAATTATAGTTTTAAATGGTACTTATTTATGTTAGTCTTTCTATTCATGAATATAACAAAATATATTACGTTTATCATATGAAACAAACTGATGGGATTACACGTCATAATAAATAATAAATATAATTTAAGAAGTTTCTTCTTTGGTAGATATTTTACGAGTTCGATCAATTTCTCTCTCGATTTCTGATGTATAAGAAATATACATTTCTATATTATCAAAGATTTTGATTTGAAAATTGATAACAATTTTCATTAATCCCCAATTTAGCGCCTAATTTAACGCGGACAGCTCGGCATAGTTACTAAGTTGTTGGCCTTGTCGCCGAGGGTTATGGGTTCGATTCCTTCAAGGGATAAGTAATTGGCCGACCCACAGATAATAATTGTTCCTAATATTATTCCTATTCTTTCCTAAATAGTGTTGACGTCAGGAAGGTTGTCGGTAGTAAAAAACCTATCTAATACCGGTAACAACATGATTCCCATGTCGGGCCCACCCACATATATGTGGATTATAATACTTATCTTGGCAAAAACGTATGTACAAAATAAAAACAAAGGGCCTTCTCTTTACTTTTCTTAAGCTTTAATGTTTTGATGAAATTGATCCCAGAAACAAACGTAAGTTCTTCATTTGCTCTTAAAAATTTTAACATTTATTCTTAGACCGAATTTCATCTTTGGAATGTACATAAAATACAAATACCATTTGAAGTATTTTATTATTCACATATATTTGAAAAGCGATGTGTTATCCTTTAGTAACTACATCCTATATACAACAATATATAGGTTATTTAATCAACACTGAAACTTTGTGCTAAAGTATTTTAATTGCATTTCGGTAAAACATAGTGAACACGAGAAAAGATTTCTTAAAAATTACTTTTGCTCGAAGAGTAGAAAAATATAAAGCTCCGAGCGAATCGCTTTTAAAGTAAAATAATGTTCAGAGCCGTTATTTGAAGTCACGTTATCCTGTATTGTTCTCTGCTAACAATGTTCTCTATAAATTCTAACATTTTGTGCTTTGTGAAATGTTTACTTCTATTAGAATATATATTTTTCAAAGTATAAACAAGATTGTTATTTAAAATAAACCATGTTAACATGTAGTTTTTTTATATATAACATAGCAGACTCCATAATATATCAGACTACATAATATATCAGATATGTTCATCGTTTATCTGAGGTTATTGATGCTTTCAAAGAAGTAAAGACTGAGTAAAGTTTGGTAATAAATTTGTCAAGAGACCTACATCACTATACCATCTACGCTTATTTAAAGAATATGTAAATCAATCAATCAATCTAATACCTTTAAACGAGCAATTCTTGTTTTATTTTCATGAAATTTTGTATGTGAGTAGATTCGGGGGCGAAAAATCAATCTAGCTAGGTTTCATATTTAGAAAATTTCCTTTTATCCCTGTTTTCAGGAATGACAAATATCATTCGAAAACGACGGTAAATTTGGCCGAAAGAAAAATGTTATAAGAGGTCGGTCGATAATCGGGCGCCCCCGAAACAAAAAGTCCGCGGTTCGTGTCACGATTATCTTTTTTACTTTTTTTTCTATACCAGATCATTGCTTTCTTTATTTTTTATTATTTTTATTAATTAATACACGATTTACCAAAAATAAAACGAGCAAAGCTCGCTCCTCCAGGTACTGTATTTTATTTATTGATCTCCAAGCGTGTTTACAACGTTACTTACTAATTAAATATCTTAACTAAAACAAATTGACCCGAATAAGATTAAAAGTCCATACACAATAATTACATATGGCCTAAACGACCATCTGGAGACGACACGAGTGTTTGCGAGAAAATACAAGGGCGCAGTAATGGTGCTGCCTAGATAGCTTTTAAGAGTACTCTGAATGACTCTTGCAATAATTTATAGTCAGTGAAAATTGAATACTACTAATAAAGTAAATATCTACTTTACGATCAAATTTATATTTGAAAATGCGCATTCAAAGAAAGCTTAATGATTCTTTAAAATGTAGTTATAGTAATCTAAAATTGCTGGAGGCAAACCTCTGCGAAGCAACGTTCTTTGTTCCACACAGTTTAGTGGCTTAATTAGCGAGAAAGATGTTCAAGTACAAACAACACAAATGTTTCTTATAGATTATTAAATATTATACAAAATGTGTACTTTTTTATTGGAGAATGCTATTACTATTACTATTACTATTTGGTGGTAATGCAGAATTCAATAAAGATTTGATAATGTACTTTTATACGTATTAAATAAAATTGATGATGCCTTACCTTCTCCATCGATTATAAATAAATAAATAAATAATAAAGTTTATTTCCTTTTAGTTATACAATTTTAGACTTAGTGCTAACACATAATAATGTTAATTTAGTTTTAGTTAAATTATGGAGGCTTATTAAGCTAATGCCCTTACAACCGTAACACTTTGGATGCCTAAGAGTTCCTTTAACTACAGACACGTGACGTCTGTTGTAATTTAATGATTTAAGGTATTAAGTATAATATGCATAGCAAACATTTTAATAAAACTCTAGAGTTAGTGATAACACATAGCATATAAACTGTACATAACTCAGGTAAAAATACAAATAAATAGCGTATAGATGATGGAAGTATAGACTTAAGCGTTAAGTTTCATGTTTTAACAGCTGCAAGGACTACGGTCCATGCGTAAAAATGTCACGTTAGGGCCCCCCACTCAGTCAACGCATGCAAGCATTAAATGTCAGTTCATGTAATTTTCTCGTATATCATTATAAAAAGGTTGTATTTAACTTATTAACGGGCCGTGATGCTGTAGTTTTACATTTACAGGTAATTTTCGATATCAAAATTCATTTCTAAGACTGTTCAATTTAAAAAAAAAATTAATTATAAAATTCTAAGTTTTTTTTTCTGTCTGATCTGCTAGCATGGTCACCAAATGTCTTAGATGTATGACCATCTGATGTATGAACACGTTGTGTCTGATATAACTAGCCATAAAGTATATTGTGTTCTATGGTAAAGTACACGGAGACTGGAGAAATTTTTTAAATATTTAATACACAAAGCGTACTTTTTTCGTTACAGTTTTCCACAAAGAAAGAATAAGTCTCGAGTTGATATACATCCGTCATCGTATTACTTCAACCATCCAAATGATTCGTATGTTCTCAAAAACCCCTGCTCTGAGAGTTTAATATCGCTCACTGAGTTAACTGAAAGAACTTCCATCCCCGCTCATTCCGTCTCCTCTTCTTATAACCGTACAGTGATTATGTCCATAAAAAGTAACTGTTCTACTAGTTATTAGTAGAACAAATACTTTTGCGTCACATTTAATCTTAATAAATTCATATCACAATACTTCATGCTGCTATTGTTAGACCATTCGAATGTTACGATTATATCAATCGGTTATGTTATTCTATACTTGGAGAGCATGGGCAATCTAAAAAACCAGCTCAAGTGATACAAATAAATAACAGGTTTTCTAAACTGGTGTACGAATTAAATCATCACAGTTAACCTTCTATCTAATCTCTACTCATTGGTAATTATATTTTATTATTTCCAATCCAACTTTCAAGTCATAGAAAATAAAAAAGCGGTCTTACGGTTTTATAACTGCTTTATTTCTTTGGTGTTTTTAGAGATATCGCGTCATTTTAAAAACAATTATAATAAAGATCTTCATGAAATTATGAACAAGGAGCTAATGTTATGAGCTGAACGCCTAGAAAATATTTCAGTGTATTTAAATATATAAATAAAGGTAATTATGTAAAATAAAATAAAATATATAAATGAAGGTATTTATGTATTTAAGTAGCTTTATTTGTGATCCGTTAAAACGAATGTATACTGTTATTATATTTTTCATACCTTGGCAAATGCCTGTACTTGCGATTAGAAAAACAAACAATTTCGATTCATTATTTAGTTCTCTGCATATGGCTCGGTGGTGCAACTGCTATGTTATTGGTCTTGGCGTTTAGGGTCGAGGATTTAATTCCCACACGTGATAAATATTTGAATGGCCCTTAACTTTATCGGATCTCAGTGTTTATTCCCAAGGAGAGGTAACGGGCGGCGGGCGAAAAAAACTTAGCCAATATCATTAATTACCTACTTCCTAAACTATATAGGTAATGTATGGAATCCGTGATATATTTACAGATTACAAAAACTCATATTTCATTAATAATATCTAGTCATCAAGTTATAAGTATAATTTAAATGTTAAGATATAAATTTAACATTAAGGCTTCATAATATTTTGTGAGTATTAAAAAAGTACCTGGATGACGGGTTGTAGACTGTTTTCTCACAAAAGAAGGTCCGCCCCATTTCCTACCTGAGCAACGTAATAAACGTTGTACATGGTGGCGATATTTACCTTCGCATTCTAATGATATTGTAGTTGTTTTTCAATGCCCGAAAACACGGATATAACGGCGTTTTATAAAAAAGAAACCTAGCTAGGTCGACTTATCGCCCCGTGCAAACTAAATGTTCATGAAAATTGTTGGAAAGTTTCCGAGATTCAGTTTTATGTATACGTATATACAAGAATGCTCGTTTAAAGGTATTAGTACCTGGAGTACCTTTTTTGGTAAATCATGTATTTTGGAAATAAAAAAAATAAAGAAAATGATCCGGTATAGAAAAAAAAGTAAAAAAATAAGTGTGTAAATGATCGTGATACGAACCGCGGCCGTCTGTTTTGAGGCCGCCCGATTACCCCCGAATCTACGCACATACAAAATTTCATAAAAATCGCTGGAGCCGTTTCCGAGATTCCGTTTATATATATACAAGAATTGCTCGTTTAAAGGATAAGATGTATATTGATATTATTATTATATAAATGCTCAGATAAAAAAGTGCAACGCGCCGTTTGAGTTGACCAAACAAATCTTGAGAGTTTTGCGAAAATTTCTTTCGTGGTGATTTATATACAGTTTTCAATTATAAACTACAATGGCTGAAATATTTATTATTTTTCTCAGCGTTATTTTTGAACCGATAAATCTAAGAGACCTCAAAGAAGAAAGCTCAAGCCCGCCTGGAAGGTCAGCGACCCATTGGGTGCTGCGAATATCCTTGAGCGACGGTGATGACTTTTAAGTTGAATGTTTATTAACCATTTTTCCATAAAAAATGTAGAGATGCAAAATGTCTTACTGCTAAAACAGTGGTTTCCTTTGTGAGGTACACGATGACTACGTGTGTGTCATAGTACAACAAGCAGTCATTTCAAAATCAAAAGATTAACAAGTTATCGTTACTCGTTTAAATTAAAAAAACCGGCCAAGTGCGAGTCGGACTCTAGCGCGAAGTGTTCCGTACCATTATCCATAAAAACGTCTCAAAATAACGTCTGTTGTATGGGAGACGTTATCATAGCTGCAACAGAAATACGTCATCTGTGTAATTTTGAACAGCCTGGTGACAAACAGACAGACATACAGCGGAGTCTTAGCAATAGGGTCCCGTAGGCACCCTGGAAATGGAACCCTAAAAATTATATATATATATATATATATATATATATATATATATAAAGAACTAAACTTTCCAAAAGTGTGTTGTTTATTCAAACTAATATGTACTCAATAAAAAAACCAAATGGATCTTGTCGTGCTATCTTTCATTTATAAAAATAATACAACGGTAATACACTATTAATAAGACGGCTGCGAAGCAAGCGAGCTGGCGATTCACCTGTAGTTAGGTGATAACCGCCACCCATGGACATTTTTTTATGTGAAAAATTGCCAAACGAGCAGACGGTTCACCTGATGTTAAGTGAATACCGCCGCCCATGGGCATCTGCTACATCCGAGACTTGCAGGTGCGTTGACAACCTTTTGAAAATCGGGCTCCAGTTACCTCACTCGCCAGACGAAACGCGAAAGTATTATACTTGGAAGTATTATTAAGTATTATACTTTACGCCGATCTTCAGTGAGATCGTAGTACTTATTTCGTACCCAGCCGCCGATTCGTGCAACAGCCGAGGCTGCTGCGTGGCCCTACCACCGTAGAATTTACAGCACCCATAGGGCTGAATATGCGTTGCCGCCTTACAATACAATTTATAAATAAAAAAAATATATATTTAAAATACTTTATTCTCAGCATTGCAAGATTTTTTTACAAAAATAAAAATCATTCCTATACTGTAAATAACATAATTTTCCACTAATGCAAATTTTTGGCAGTTCACCAGCCGTAGCTTGCGCCCAGGCCCGAGTAAGATACGTGAGCGACGGCGGGAGCAGCTGAATATGAAACGGCACCCTTGAGTGCAGGCACTGTTGAATACGTTGAGTAAGGCGCTGCGGTGGCATAGGTTGCTAAGGGAGCGGAATGAGCGGAGACTGTGGAGTAAGACAAGGCAGGAGAAATGGTCTTAGCTAAAACGGGGACGGAATTGTATGTAGAGATCGCTGGGGCCGCGTAAGTGGAGTAAGCAGGCGCAGCATACGCCCTAGAAACCACAGGGCCCGTCGAATAAGTTAAAGGCGCCGAATTAGAAGAGATCGTTTGGTAAGAAACCGCTGGGGCTGAGGAGTAGGTCGCAATTGGGGAAATTTGTTTCGAGATAACGTTGCCAGCGCCATACGAGGTGATGCTGGGAATAGATTGGGTCGAGTAACTTTGGTACCCAAAGGACGGGGCTGCATAGGAGGATAATGCAGGGCGGGCGGCGTATGCTCCAGAGTACGCTACAGGTCCAGCGAGAGAGCCATGGGTCGAATACGAAACGTGGGACACTGCTGGTGCAGCGCTATAGGTCACAGGCGCTGCAGCGTGCAGAAGGTTCCCAGCGGTTGCGATTCCCGCTGCGCACAGCAATACGATAACCTGAAAATATAAATTAAGCTTAATTAACATAAAATTACATGAAGAAAAAATAAGGTTCCAAACTGTACAATAAAACTTCATATCTATTATATTTTTGAATTTGTTGAATGACAAATTATATAGCTTAGAACCTTATTTCTCGAAAAAACTAAGGATACTAATTGGTAATACATGCATGTACCTTGGTATACATGTTTGAACTACGTGTTATGACAGTATGAGCATACAAGTTCTTGCATCTACTTATATACTTCTTGAATAAACTTGTACCGAATATTCGAAGTCAATTTGTGCAATAACCCTTACAGATTATTTTAATTGCAAAATATTACCTTTTACGTGGCGATAAGATCGAATATTCAATATCACGAATATTCTCATGCGTAAGCCCATATGTAACAATGCAATGACGCACCACCCAGCCGTATTTCAGAGGCAATTAACGCCTGAAGCTATAGAGAGTTTCTTAAAATTAGGTTAAGCAGTTGTAAAAATTTCTTCTTTTATATTATGTATAGTAAAAAATGAGGGTAAAACAATTTTTTTACTTTATTGGAAGAAAAAGTTTAATTTAATTATTTTAATTTAAATATTAAAAAGTAAAATTTAATACCAAACATTCGTTTCTTTGATCAAAACAGTGCAAAGCTAAACAAACAAGAAAAGTATGAAAACAACTAAGGAATCCAACATCATCTTGTGAAAAAATCTGCAATAACTTAACACGGAACTTTTCTTCAACGTTGGAAGTATTTTGATTAGATAATTTAAAGGAAGGGATTATTAACTTGAAATTTTCTCTTCACAAAGTAATAAAGTCTTGGGCGTAACTTTAAGTTCCAAGTATTTTGTAAAAGCATAACTATACGGATGTTTTTTGAGATAAGAAAGTTATAAATTTATGTATTTCAATTTCATACCTTCATGTTTTGTTCTTTAATGGCTTAGGAACAATACGACGAAGTAATGAGAGTATGCTCATTTCACCATGCTTAATTGCTTCGAAACGCGACAGGTTGTGAACCTTGATACAGTAAAATGGACACAAATGTCAGCGATTTTTGAACGTGAGAAATGCAAGAAAACAAAAAAGTTATCGGTACACGCCCCTGACATTCGAACCCGTGATATCAACACCGTTAATCGATCGTACCAAACTAAGGTTAAATTGGTAAAGTACCATTTTCTTAAATCGTTTTTTTTTTTTTCTGTTTTTTATGTGTGGAAATTTTATTTACCTCTGTAGGGTTGCAGTAGTGTTGGCAAAATTTTAAAGTGTACGCCCGGCAACCTTAACCTTACTCATTAGAAGAAAAGCAGAATTATGAATTATGAAGAAATAGAAGTGGAAGCATGTGGTAAAATAATAACCACGGCCTAAAATAATTTAGGCCGTGGTGCTTCCCATAGGCGTATATAGCGGGGGGGCCGGGTGGGCCGGGCCCAACCCAGTATCGTCCATTGCCCACCCCAGGATTGTTACCGATTCGAAATTCTAGCCTGGACACCTATCCTTCAACGCTAAAAGCAGACTGAAGCCGAGCTAGGTTTTCGCTTTCCCGAGTTAAATCCATGTTAATGTAGACACACAATTTTTAAAATGGCGCCACAATGTAAAAACACATTGACAGTCAGATGAAACAAACTGCATTCTACAGCCAGAGTTCTATTTTCAAATGATGTAATTTCTTTTTAAATATTGTTTTTGTAAGTGGCCAGTTCCAGAAACTTTTAGTGTGCCCTATGTATAATTACCATGAAATGCAGATTCGAAAGTGCACTTCTGGCCCAATCGATCGATGCGTTTTAAATATAGATTTCGAAAATGGGAAGGCTTTTATCGATAATAACGAAGACATTCTTTGAATAGGTAGCACCCTTCTAGAAGGAGAATGCTTAATAATAAAAAACGTAATAAACGAAAATAATATTAAATTTGAAAAATCTTTTTCAATTAATTCAAGCTGCAATTGTGATACCATTCAGTTCAGCCGGGTGCGAGCGGAGCTTTTCAGCAATATGGAGAGTTAACATTTAGTTGAGATCTACCATGAGAGAAGAGAGGTTCTTTTCTTCATATAGGAAACTAGCGACCCGCCCCGGCTTCGCACCCCCGGGTGCATGTAGATATTGACTTTCTCGGATTTTCTCTGCTATAATATACATATATACTACATGAAAACATTCCACTTGAATACTATCTATTGCCGAAAATCGCATTCAAATCCGTTGCGTAGTTTAACAGTTCTAAGCGTACAAACATCTCAAACGATTTCATTTTATTGTATGCGAAGATAAGTAAAAGTAAGAACTGTTATTATTTTAATACAAGTATGTTCGATTTTTAGGCAGTGTACGATTTTTTTTGTAGTTAGGGCCTAGGCCTACCCTGAAAAATAGCCCCTAGATACGCCAATGGTGCTTCCCCGAACGAGCCTGCTTATTCGTGCAACAGTAAAAGCTGCTGCGTATTTGACCGCTTGTCAACCTGATGGTAAGTTACAATCACTAAATGACTCAACTCATCATCATCGTCCTGCCCTTATCCCAGCTAGGTGGGATCGGCACAACATGTGAATTATGTTGCAAGCGGTTAGGGCTGTTTTTCGACCGGCCGCCAGCATAAAATCAACTTTCCCTGAGCAAGAAACACCCAGATCCGGAACAATTATCTGTGCGTCACACAAATACTGCTGCCATGTGGGAATCAAACTCAAAACCCCTGACTCCAAAGCCAGCTTAGCAATGGCGCCATCATATTTGTTTTATTTGTTTCTGAGTAGGTTTATGATAGAACGTAAACTGCATCTCAACTTTACAAATAATTTAGATTGGATCAACAAATGTTCATAGCCATCCGTTATATACCATGTCAGCAGAAATAAGCTCAGATAAAATAATTATGACACATGATTGAGGTAGGCAGTTGCAAGAACTTCTTCCTTTTCTATCTAAAAAGTACTTAGTTAATAATAATGGGTAGTAGGTAAATAAATCGTGACAATAGTGTCCAAGCGCTAACTTTTAATTTAATATACTCGAGTAAACTGAATTCAAATCCCGGTGGCGGCACCAAAAAAATAGTTAATTTCAATTTTAGAAGCTGACTTATAGCGGACTTCGCGGTGAAGAAAAACATTATAATAATATATTAATAATAATAACTACTTCCTGGCGAGATCGGATGAGTCAATCTACACGGACGTCATTAGTTGTGATAAAGGGTAAGTCCCTCTATCCTTAGCCAACGAGCAATGGCAGGACCCGGGAGTGCTGAGCATTTCCGACCGGGAGGCCGTATGGAAGGAGAAAGAGCTCCACGGGAGGTTCTACAAGGCCCTACACGAGCCTTTCGTGGATACTACTGCCTCCCTCAACTGGCTACGTTTCGGTGACCTCTTTGGGGAAACCGAAGGTTTTGTCTACAGGCGATACAGGATGACCGCGCCTGCTCTACTCACGGACTTTTCGCGAACTAAACCTGACATCTTGGTGTGGACGTGACGAAACCTCGTGAAAGCCCGAACAGATCAGGTTATTAAGACGAACAACTATCGGAAATACATCCTAAGGGATGGCACCGTCGACATCTGTCGAGATGTCGACGGTCGAATGAATAATTCATTTCCAGCGAATTTCTTGATGTAACAAAGGCATAAATAAAATCGAATTGTGTATGAGAAGTGTATAAATAATAAAGAATCAATAATGCGGCAACCACGATTTTTACATAAAATCTTAAAGTGAACATATAGTATAACCTAGTTTTTTCTTATGGGAGTCTTACTCGTTTCTTCTAAGTTATCTTTTTTTGGATTTCCATAAGAAAAAGTCTGATTTTAAATCTAAACGTTTGTGCGTTTCGTTTGTGCGTTCCTAATTGGTGGTGGGATGTTATTCCTGCATTTGGTTGCTGCATGTCGAAAACTGCCTCTAAACATAGCGGATCTATGTCGCGGTATTATGAGGTGGCGACTACGATTACCGCTGATGTTCCCTCTACTCCATTCTAATTTGCTGCTAAGATAACTAGGTGTCTGCGATCTCAAAATACCAAAAAGTAGACATGCTAAATGGTGTTGTCTGCGGTGTCTCATGTTTAAAATGTTGTGTTGATTAAAAAAAGGTGTTACGTGACTACGGGGTGGAATTCTAAAACAAAAACGAGCGCAAGCATTTTGTACCCGGTGAATCAGCTTTTCTGTTCTTACATACAAGCATGGGCCGTAAACATCGTATATATTTCGAAGATATGTGAAGTCTGCCAATCCGCAGTAGAGTCGCCTTATATCCTCTATGGAGTGGAAGCATTTACCTTGCAGTGGAACAAACACAGGTTGTTAATTTACTTACTTCTTTTAGTAAAATATATCATACGGCCATCAGTAAAATAAAAAAAGATAATTATGCAATTTTATGTAAAAACACAGTGATTAGAAAAATAATTAGTACTATGTATTTAAAGACAGTTTCACAACATATAGATTCTTAGTAATAATCGACAAAAACAGCAAACTCTCTTCACGTGAATGCTTGAAAACCGATTAAGATAAATGGTTTCCCGAGATAAAATTGCAGTGGCCAAGTATTTGATTCTCAGAACATTTCACAATTCCTAGAAAGAACGTAATAAGAGTCTCCAAATTTCCGTAATCTTTGTTTCTAACTTTATACTTTATCCCGGAGTTTTGAAACTTAGGGGATTAGACAATAAGCCTTTATAAGAAAAACTAAAGTGGTATGCATGTTCGAATATGTTTTGAAGGAAAATGTATCAATATTTTTCAGCTCCTGTAAGAGAGTTAGCTATTACAAATACATTTTAATTTAATATACAGTAATGTATATTATTCATAATCAAAACGGCTTTCAACAGTTAAAGAAGAAAAATTGTCATCGTCATTTCAGTATCTTTTACTCCCGTTTTTTTTTTTCAATCAAGGTTTTTTTTCTTTTGTCTTATCAATAAAATTTATTTTCTGAAGCAGTTGTTTCTGAATTATAATAATTTTGGACTATGTTATTATTTAAATTTCTATAAAATGTGATATAAAGTAACTCTTTGTATAAGTTTTAATAAAATATCCACACCGTAACGTTCATATCATACACTCAGATTAGAGAGGTCATTAACAAGACGAGGGATGATATTTAAAATAATTACTCTCTCCCCCAAATATTATAGTTTATTTTATAGAGAAAGTAATGAGAACTAAATGTAAGTTAATGAAATTTTGTTTTTATTTCATTTATTTTAACTAATGCTTCTTGCTTAAGCCAGATATACTTAACTACCAATAACGTACTAGGTACGTGCTCTGCAAAATTTAGATTTGAACAAGGGTCCTGAACCTGATGGTATACCCAGTATTTTTTTTAAATCAACTGCAGAGCATATTGTTTTCCAGATTAAATACAGATTTTATTTAATAAGTGCATTATGGATGCTAACTTTTGAAACATTTTATGTATTTATTTTATTTTATAAGTTCCAGTTCATAAGAGTGGTCATAAGATTAATAAAGAAAATTACAGACCAACTTCTAAACTAAACACCTTGTCCAATCTATTTGAAATACTAACTCACAACACTTTGTACCCCTATAGACACAATCTTATCATACCTGAACAACACGGCTTTATAAAACGTCGATCCACACCTACCCATCTTATGGTATTTACAATTTACTTTTGTGGGAATATGGATTTGCAACAGCAAACTGATACAGCATACACTGATTTTTAAAAAGCCTTCTACAAGGTGGATCATAAATTACTTCTGCATACAATGCCATCCACGGAAATTTGCTGCGGTGGTTTTCGTCATACATATTTCTAAGAACGCAGAAAATCGTTTTTAATGGATTTGAATCAGATTACATAATTGTTCCTTCCGGAGTTCCTCAAAGATCTATCTTAGGGCCTC